GGTTCCCTACAGTAGGTCGCACAGGTATCACATACAAACTACATAATAAAAGAACAGGCACAATTTTACTATCCAGATTCATAGGTACAGCATGAAATTATTTCATTTTTTTCCCAATATTCTCAAATCCAAGTTCAGTTCCTGATCCTTGCATCCTGATCCTTGTATGTCATGCCTACATATCTAATACATACAAAAGAATTCTAATAAAATACTGTAAAAGCTGATGAGTTCCTTTATATCACTCTAAATGTTTTGATTTCTTATTGCATTATTCATTATTTGGTTGGCAAAAATAACAGTTCATTTTTTCTAAATCAATCGAATGACACTGACATACAACAGAGATGCACTCTGATCCATGTAAAGGAAAAAACTATCACAAGAAGTGCATTTTAACTGATGAAATCTACTTACTTGCTGAGAAACATCAAACAGAATAAAACACATTTACTTAAGGCTGAGAAACGGGAGCAGAATCGTTGTGTGAAACATGAGTAGAGAATAAAAACATTACTGTGAATTAGGTAATACATAAACGTGCCGATTTACTGTTTTGAATTGTTTAGTAATGAGTCATTAAGGGGACGTTTTTCAAATGTCCCTTTGTCTTTGACACCTGGAAGCAGTACCCAGGTGCCCTTTGTGCACATTTGTGGGAGTACTCAAATACATTTTTCTGTACAGTGAGAAAATACAAACAGGGGTTGGGCAGTTAAATATGCAGTTTAATTCAGGTAGAATACAATTTCAACTTTCCTATGTATGTTTGTAGCCATCATAAGCGTCTTATGTTTACAGTGCCTCCCCGTAACTAAACTTTTACTATTTAAAATACAACACTTAACTTGAAAAGCTGTCAACATAGTAAATTGCCAATAAATTTCAAACTTACTTTAATATGCTAGAACTCGTTTACAATTACCTCTGTACAAGGTGCAAATACCTGAGCGTGTCTCTGTACAAAGTACAGCAAGAGATAAAGTATCAGACTTTGTTCTATTTACTTTACAATGAGAACCTTTGGCTCAGTTTCAAAGTGATCAAATTCTCTTTACCAGCCCTCTGCTTCATTAGGCACAGTACACAGGATTTAGTCTTTTGGCCAACTTAAATAAAGAAATATTAATTTTCAATACCTTAATAAAGCCATGAGTCTATATCACAGACAATAAGATTATAGTTCTTACCTGATTCCACCCAGTACACCAAACAGATGAAGAAACACAATTTTAACATGGAGAAACGGAGAAAAGTACTATGTAGCATTCTGAAATGATTGACAAGCTAAGTGCTTCCTTATAGCATGCTATATTTTTAACTTAACTGAATGCTACTGATGAAGTAGGTGACATGTAGATTAGGAAGCAGAAAGTAAAACTGTATTCAAACTTCTGCAATTCATGACTCCTCCTATTGAATGACTTCAGAAGGTAGGGTGGTTTCTGGGCATTCAGAGTTGGGACTATTTTTTTAATCTATTTCCCCCTCTATTTGGTTATCACCAGGTTGACACGTAAGCAACTGACGTTACATATTACTGACAACTCTATTACACTCACGGAGCTTAGGAAGCAGAGTGACTAGGTGTACGTCACATTAGATGCTCACCATGTCTGCTTTTTTCAAGTGTGTCACTCACTTGTAATTAGGAATACTGAGCTGGATACAAGAAACTTGCCACAGAAAGTCATTGGGGTGACAGAAGAATTGTTCTATAAGAACTTGAAAATAATCAGAGAGTCATGAAATCACAGACTATTCTGAGTTGGAAAGGACCTGCAAGGATCATCAATTTCAACTAAAAGAATCATAGAATTATAGAATGCTATAGGTTGGGAGAGATCTTAAAGGTCATCTAGTTCCAACTCCACTGTTGTGGGCAGAGTTGTCACCCACCAGCTCAGGCTGGTGCCCAGGTGCCCAGCACCATATCCAACCTGGTCTTGAACATCTCCAAGGATGGGACATCCACAGCTTTTCTGGACAACCTGTTCCAGTGCCGTACCACTCTCTGAGTTAAAAAAAAAATTCCTCCTAATATCTAATTTTAATCTCCCCTCTCTTTGTTTAAAACTATTACCCCTTGTCCCCTGTCCTATTAGCCTGTGTAAGAAGTATCCATTTACAGGTACTATAGGCCTTAATGTAGAACCAGTACTAAAATAGAACTTATAAGCAGGAAGAGAACTGTTTCTACGTAGCCTGATAGGGATAGGACAGGGAAGAATGGCTTTAAAATAAAAGAGGAGAAATTTAGGTTAGATGTTGGGAAAAAATTTTTTACTCAGAGAGTGGTGAGGCACTGGCACAGGCTGCCCTGGGGGACTGTGGATGCCCCATCTCTGGAGGCATTCAAGGCCAGGCTGGATGGAATCACAGGCAACCCTGTTCTACTGGTTGACAACCCTGCCCCACGGCACAGGGTTTGGAACTCAATGATCTTTAGGTCCCCTTCAACTTAAGCTGTTCTACGATTTGCTGTATTTATGTAACAACCTGTCACTGATCTTAGAAGAAAATCTTATATATGCACCTTTACATATACCTAATGCCATTGCTCTTATATCTATACTTTGCTCTTTTATATATGAACAGAGCAAAAAAAAAAAAAAAAAAAGATCCTTCTAAGGTAAAAACCAATACGACCAGTACTTACCATGTATGTTAAGTACTTTAGTACTTTGCCTATGTTGATAGAATCTATAATATATCACCCACACTAATTTAGCAACTCACTAAAAAGAAATTAAATTTTTTAAGTCCTCAGAAATCAAGATCTGAAAACGTTTTTAGCACCAAATGAATGCTCAGAAAATGTTGTAATATTAATCAGCTTGTTGAACTAGTACTTGTGGGACAAACCACTGTCACATGAAAGGGGAATTTTGTTCACCAACAGTGACACTCCACTTGGAAATCCATAAATCTGAAGTACTGTTTACAGAATGGCTTCCACTGGCATCCTATCATAAATCTTCCAAAAGAACAGTGAGCTTCAGATAACAAGTTCACTAGTAGATGTGAGAGCCTTGAAGTTCAGGTTTTACTCATGCCTCTTCACTGCATATTCTGTATGATGCTTTTGTTGGGTTACACTCTTCTTGCTTCTCTCACTTGAGGATCACTGTACTGTCTCATAAGTACTCTGCTTGTGTCCCAAGAGCTCAGAAATGTAAAGGTAGTCCCTCCTGAATGAACTGTGGTTGCATTTGGGTGAGCCCACAGTGCATCAGCTATTACAAAAACACAAAAGACTTGCCAAGTATTCAAGTTAAAAAATACCTAAAAGCTAAATTTTATTGCAGTGCAAGACTGTTAGATTTACAGATAAGAAAAGAGCACTTAGACTTCAGTTCCCTCCCCCAAGATGCTGATAAAATAACAGCCAAAAGTACTACAGAATCCTGGCATGGCTTTCAAAATTAAGATCAAATTCTCATGAAAATTGTAACATCCTGATCTGCAGTCACGTGTATTTCCCCTTCTACTCAAGAATGTCCTTATCTTGAAAAATATTCTTACAAGAATTCTGACTTCTCTTGTGAACCAAGGCACTTCTCTGGAACAAATATTGACCCTCCTCTACCCATGAGCTTTTGAGTGCTAGTTCCTTCCAGGCAAGATGAAATCAAACTTGTTTTTTAAAAAGCCCTCTAAAGATTACAAAAATAAATAGACTGACTGGAAGAAATTTAAATCTCATGACTGGTTCTACACTAAGGCTTATAATACTTGTAAATGGATAATCCCTTTCTATACAGATTGAAGGAAAACATGTGGTCTGTTACTAGTTATTAGCTGAGACCTGACAGATCAGTAACAGAACCTTTGTGAGAAATTAATGGTATTGAGGCAAAGCACACAGTCAAAGCTCGAGAAAAGAATAAACTTAATGAAAAGATTTCTTATGCTGCTGTCATCAAGATGACCTCTGGGAATTTACTCAGAAAAAAAATAAAAATAAAAAAAACCCCAAACTTTTAAAAATATGTACTGAATGCTATATTGCTATATGTGTGTACATGCTTGAAAGCTGATTGTAGCAATCAGGTAAGGACCTGGACATGAGTCAGCAATGTACTCTCACAGACCAGAAAGTCAACTGCTTCCTGAGCTGCACCAAAAAAAGCATAGCCAGAAGGTTGAAGGTAATGATCCTGCCCCTCTGCTCTGCTCTGGTGGGGTGCCACCTGGAGTACTATGGACAGATGTGGAGTCCTGAGAACAGGAGAGACATGCATCTATCTGTTGGAGGGTGTCTGGAGAACGACCACAAAACAGGATGGTTCTGAGGGATGAAATACCTCTCCTGTGAGGACAGGCTGAGAGAACTGGGGCTGTTCAGCCCAGAAAAGAGAAGGCTCTAGGGAGACCTGAGAGAGGCATTTCTGTATCTAAAGGCGGGGCTGTAAGAAAAAATGGGACAATCTCTTTGGCAGGAATAAGATATGATAAGACATGGGGAAATGGTTTCAAACTGAAACAAGGAATATTTAGACTGGAGTAAGGAAGAAGTTTTTTACAATACGGGTGGTAAGACGCTGGAGCAGATTGCCCTGACAGGTGGTGGTCTCCCATCTGTGGAGATGTCCAAGGTCAGGCTGGAAGCGCTCTGAACAACCTGATCCAGCTGTGGGTGTCCCTGCTCATTGCAGGGGAGTTGGACTAGATGACCTTTAAAGGTCCCTTCCAACTCGGATGATTCTGTGATTCTAGGTGACAGTGGGTCAGTGCAAGCCTGACAGTAAAACTGTCAGAGCGCTTTATCGTGTTGAGGACGAGATACTTGAGGGCTTCAAAGAGTTTCGGAGCATTTGCCCCTCAGTCCCAACGCAGCATTGCAGTACCCACCGACCCCACAAGAGGTCAGGAGGAGCATTTTAGCTCTATTTCTGCAGGGCGCTGATCCCGTTGCCTAGCGACGAGCTGCCGTGCAGCCCTTTACGGCAGCGGGGCCCTTTCTCCCGTTCCGCCCTAGGCGGCGCCCGGCGGCGGCAGTGGCGGCAGCAGCAGTGCCATGTCGGGGCCGGGGCGGGCGGGGGAGGCGGACCGGACGCTGTTCGTGGGGAACCTGGAGAGCCGCGTGCGGGAGGAGATCCTCTACGAACTCTTCCTGCAGGTGGCGGGCGGGCTGGCGGGGCGGGGCGGGGCAGTGGCTTGGAGGCGCCGCAGGGCAGCGGTCTCGGGCTGGGGAGCGGGCAGGGCAGGGCAGCGCCGGCTGGCATCAGCACTGCTGCCCACGGCCTGACAGCACCCAGCCTCGGTGAGAGCCGGCCGTGCCGTGGTACGGCGTACCCTGCAGTCCCTGAAAACCGAGAGTTAGGTTAGCTGTTAGGGGGAATTTTTTCACTCAGAGGGCGGTGAGGCGCTGGCCCAGCTGCCCAGAGAAGCAGTGGTGCCCCATTCCTTGAGGCCAGCTTGGATGGGGCCCTGAGCAGCTGAGCTGGTAGGGGCAGCGCTGCCCATGGCAAGGGTTGGGGCTGGGTGAGCTTTAAGGGCCCTTCCAACCCAAACCAAATGCAGTTCTGTGGCATCTTGTGCTCGTGATGTTCATGGCAGCTTCTGTTTGGCTTTGAAGGCTCGGTGTACTGCTAGGCTGAGTCATCTGCAAGAAGATTGCAAGTGTTAAGAGAGTAGGACAGGTGATAGGAATGTTTTTCAGATGGGATGTGGGACTTCCACTGCTATAACCTTTACAACAAAATGTCTTCTAATGCTTGAGACGATATTCTGCTGGTGGGATCCAAACTGTTCTCTCTGTTCTCTCCCAAAACCTGAAAGGCTTGCCTTAGCGGTGGCCTATTTTAAGACACCGACTTGGCTAAAGTTGTGATTTTCTATTAACAAAATGTTTGGTTAAGCCAGGCTTACTAATCTGAAAGTGGTAAGGAAAAGCAGGTGTGTGTGGAATGGAGAGCTGTGTCAAACTGTGGGATGGATTAACAGCAATGGATGATGATAAATTTCTGCTAGCCTGAAACAGTCTGTATCTAGCTTACACTAGGCAGCTCTGCCAGCAGTGTGATGATACGCTTGCTTCTGATAATACTGATTATTCCCAGTTGCAAAAAGAACTTTGCTGCCTTCTGGTGTATTTGAAAAATAAAGAGCATTAAAAAAGAAGGCGTCAGACTAATCTGCTCCATTGCTATTGCATTTAATAACCAGAACTATTTTTACCATTTTTATTCCATTAATTAATGTGATATTCATCATCTTAAGTAGGTGAGGTATCAGCAGACTACTCTATTTGCACTGGAAAGCCTTTTTTCTCGGTGTATTCCAGCCCTGTAGCCTTTTAGCTTCTTCAGTTTCTTAGTAACTCTAAGTTTGTAACTTTTCCCCAAAATTATGTAAGAGGTAGTCGTGGATGCTCCATCCCTGGAGGCATTCAAGGCCACGCTGGATGTGGCTCTGGGCAGTCTGGTCTAGTGGTTGGCAACTCTACACCCAGCAGGGGTTTGAAATTCAAATGATCATTGTGGTCTTTTTCAACCCTGGTCATTCTGTGATTCTGTGATTTTTGTGTGCAGTATCCCTGTTTCCAACAGTGAGCAGTATTCTGTCGTTTAGCTGTAAAAGCTAAGTTAAAAATGCTCAACTTACCAGGAGACATGAGTAATTTACCATACAAATCCTGTCACAAAAGCAATGAAAATAAACAGATGTCCTCAGAATGCAGTTTTACGCAAATCTTTGTGTAATCTGCTTCACTCAATGAAATGTTAATTTTTATCTGGGTCTTTAGATCGTGCCAATAACACCTACTTAACTTTTTTCTTCTCTTCATATTCTCACTCAAGTTTCTCTGCTTTTGCTGCAATAGCACATGCTTCTCCTTGAAGTATTGTCCTTTCTTGGAAAGTACACAGGTTATATTCTTGATGTAGTTCAGCCCTTAAAATGTACTCCTGAGCTGTAGCGTTCCCCTCATGAAATTAGGATTAAATATCTATTATTAATACTTCTAAACGATTAATATTTTTTCTATTATTAGTACTATTATTAGTACTTCTAAACTATTAATATTTTTTGTTTATGAACAGGAAGACTACATATTTAAGACTGATCTTCAAAGTGTTTGAGCCTGTTACTTCTAGAGCTGTTACTTCTAGTTCTTGAAGATCCAGACCTCCTCATTAGGCAAATAATGTGAAGACTGGATATATGCCATTTTTAGAAAAACTGCAGTGTAGTGCAGAACAACAGAAAAATGCTTTAGAACCAAATCAAGTAAAACCAAGCGTGTTCAGAATATCACTGAAATGCCCTCTTAAAAAACAAAGCAAAAAAAACTAACACATCAAATTTGAAGATACTTGGAAAGGTGAAATCGACGTATTGAAGACTCTCTGCGCAAGTCAACCTAGGTAGTATCCGTTGCTATATAACCTCATCCTCATTCCAATAATAAAAATGATACTTTATTTTTGATCCTTTGTCTGTATGGCTCTCTTGCTTTCATCAAGGTTGAGGTGAGAGGAGGAAGTGTTTTTCACGTTTCAGGAAGAACATTATATTTAAGTGATGAGTTGTTTATACTCAGATAGCAAAAGCATACAGCAATCAAACGTTATCACTGATGACAGTCCTTCATATCCTCAATCTAACATTACAGTGGCTAGAGTCAAGGAAGATGGCTCCAAATCATTGCCACTTAATTAATGTGTGTTTGCCTAAAGTTGTAGTTTACTTTTGAGTTCACTTAGGACTTACAGAATTTTGAGTTCTATAGAGTTCACTACCACTGCTGTTGCCAATGCTGAGTGCTAGTTTTTGATTCAGGACAATGAATTCTCCATCTATGATGGTAATTTAGACATTCAGAAATTTTGTTACTGTATCTGAAGGATGTTGGTATTTGCTATGAAAATAACAATTTATTTGAAAATGGAGCCAGTATTTAATTCTTTAATTAATTCTGCTTTAATTCTTCTAGAAGTATTGGGCAAGGATTTTAATGGTGCATGTAGGCAGAGATGGGACTTCTTTTCAATGAAGATATGTCATGGTATATCCTGAGCTGGAAGGAACACATGAGGATCATCGAGTCCAAACAGAGCATTCTTAAGGGGGAAGAGGGAGTGGTTTTGTTCCCTGGTTTATGTTGAGTTTTTGTTTGTTTTTCTTGGTCAGTAACAGTACACTATCTCTGGTTAGATGATGACAGATTCTCTTGATTCCTTGTCATGCATTTGTGATAGGACTAGGTAGTATAGAAAATTAGATTTTGTTGTGGTTCCAGAAGAACTATTCTCTATTTAAGCTTGTTTTCCAACAGTTTTGATGCTTCCCACTTTTATATTCCTTAAATTCCTAGAATCAGACTGATGGATTACTTTGGTTTTACACAGCTGGTATTATCAATCTGTATAGTTGTGGTAGCTGTGCAAAAACTGTTGTAATGGTTGTACATGCAACCTGTACCTGCATGAGTTGACTTTTGTTACAGAAACAAAGGAGCCCAATACTCCTTCTTGCAGCTATCATAAATATCTTTTAAAAATAATAAAAATAATCAGATTATTAAAGTAGAACCAATCGTCACCCATGGGCTGATGGTTGGTTCCAGTTTTAATATTTGTAGGGCTCCTTTTTGTTTTATAAATGCTCAGAATTTGAGAGATTTTTAAAATGAAATAATCTCATACTTGAGAAACACTGTTTCAACCTATGGCAATATATATAATCATGAAATGATTGTGATTTTTTAATTTTTTTTTTAAGTAAGTTCTGTGAAAAAATAACGCAGATTTCTTTCAGGCTGGACCGTTAACCAAAGTGACGATTTGTAAAGATAAGGATGGAAAACCTAAGTCTTTTGGATTTGTCTGCTTTAAGCACAAAGAATCAGTGCCTTATGCAATAGCTTTGCTGAATGGAATCCGTTTGTATGGAAGACCAATTAAAGTACGGTATCGGTTTGGTAGGTTTGCAGTCAGAGTGATTACTTAAGTCTTTTTCTAAAGCTGTTTTTTGAAGTATGTTTTTCTAAAATTACTCGTTTTTAATCCTACAAGTGACTTTCACTTGCAGTTCTGACTCAGTTAAGAGCAGCAACTATCAAGCTGTTTTGAAAGCTTTTGTACTAAAGCCATGAAGCTATCAGTTTTATTTTAATTGGAAGAGAGTGTAGTTAGGAAAATGCAGTCAAATCAAAGTCTTATTCTTCATTTTATGTTTATGAAAATAAACCTTCTGGAATGCTAATGATTAGGCAGTATTTGCAGTCCAAACATTGACTTGTTCCTGATCTGCACTGTGTCACTCCTCACCTAGAAGGCTGTAGAGAGCAATAATCGTTTAAGTAAAAATGGCTGAGGTTCCTGAAATCAGAAGCAGTGGGAACGATTCTGTTCATGATTATTGAACAGTCCTGATTTATGTTTCTGTAAGTGGCTGAGTGTAAATGATAAAGAAACATTTTGAAGCAGTTCACTGATGGTATAGATTGTCTGCCATAAAATGACACCTTTCCATTATATGCCAGACTTGATATACTAATACAGTACAGTGACAGAATACTTTCTGTGTTTTAACTTGTTAATCAAACAGTTAAAACTGAATAGTCATTACAGTCTTGTCTTATTTACAGGGAGTTCACACTCTTCAGAACTAAACAGTCCAACACATGGTTTTGAGAACTATGCTGACTTATATTCACCTTCATATAGGTAACAAAGACCTCCTGTGAATGAATTGTATGACTATAATTTAAAAATGCTAAAAGGGATGTGGTAGATACAGTAAGGCAATCTTTAGGCTCTTCATTAACATGGCAGTTGCACACTTTAATTGCATCTGTACTAATGACTTGCAATGGGTTTTAGTTAATGTTTGGTTGTTTAGCTTGCTAGAGGTTCCAATAGTTAGATTCCAAATCCTAATTATTTTTGCAAGATATAGGAATGTGGAAAAATATTGTAAGTATGGTGTTTGTACTAGGAATGTTTGCAGTTCTTAGGGGAAAAGAAAATCTGGCAATTGAGATAATCATTTTCTACCCTACTGAGTTTACTTGCTGTGTGTATATATACAAGCAAATGTGATGCACACGTGAGTGTACAGGTAGAACTTGTACACACTGTTATAACAGAATTCTGAACATCCCAATTTCAATGTTTCAGCATCTCAAATTCTATTTTTATTTTTTTGCAAGTATGCCAGAACTCTCTGTTAGGATTACTTGTTAAGTCTTTGGAAGTGTTTTCCTTGTTTTATTTATTTATTTGTTTGTTTGTTTTTGTGGAAGTCCAGTTGTTAATATCTGTATTATTCTTTCAAATACGCTCATAATAGCCCAACAGCTGAATATCATTACACTACAGGATAGTATTTGTTAGAAGCCTAGTCTTTATATTATAGTTTTCCTGTTTTTCCTAGGTATCAAGAGCCTTATGGAAATCCTCCATTTCCTGTTACTCCTTTTCCAATGAACAATTGCTTACCTCAGGAACACTCCATTTTTCAGAAGATGGTGAGTTTGTGATAAAAGCTGTAATGCATGTGAAATACAACTCTTCAAAAGTTTCTCTTACCAGTATTAACAACTCAAGTTTGTATTTCTTCAGATGAGCCATTTTTTAGAACAGCAGTACGCAGTTCACAGTCCAGTGAGTCAGCAATTTCCTTACTACCAGATGACTCTGCCACTGCCTTCAAGCTTATCCATTCCTCCCTATCAGAATCAAGCTGCAAATTTTAAGTGTGGGCAGAGTTCTTTTGAGTTGGCTGTGCCACATTCAAGCGATGGAAAAGTGTACCAGGTGGATGAAAGCACGTCTAAAAGAAAGAGGGAACAGCAAAGTTGTGACAGTGACACTAGTACTGAAGATGACAGAATGAGACAAAGAGATCATGACCAAAAATACAATAAGTGCAAAGCCAAGAAAAAAAGGCATTAATACTGTAAAAGTGGATTATTTTTACTTATATTTTCTATTTTTATTTGAGAGAAATTCACTCATTGTTGCACTTTATTACAAAAGGAATGTACAAGACTCATATTAATTTTGAAAGGCATTGTGCATAAATTATACTGATACTTTATTAACCTCAACCAAGTAAAAGAAGAAAGTACGTTAAGGTATAGGAAATATTTTAAAAGATACAGTTATCCTATAGAAGAACGTCGGTAATTATGCTTCTGTTTTCCAAGAATTACAAAAGTCTGTGAGTTTGCTAATTTAGACACTGTGAAAATGTATACTTTGAGCCACTCATAAAGCATACGTATCATACTTCAATGACTTGTGGAATTTACTATTGTGACTGCTTTAAGAATTCTCTGGAGCTGCTGAAGAACTGAGCGGACTAGAAATTGTAAGCGCCCTATTAAAGATTTGCTCATTGCTGAAGTATCAATGCCTACAACTTTTCCTCTTTACTGATCTATCTCTGCTCTTATGTTGCATTAGGATCAGTGTGTACACTTACTGTAACTTTTCTTTTTTCTAGTAATAAATGCAAGGTAAAAAAAAAAGCATTTGCACTTAACTACAAGGCTTACGTACTGTATCAGTTCTCAAAGTGATGTACTTTATGGTTATGCTCTGACTAGACCTGCATACACTGTGGATCTTTCAATATACTCACTGTGGATCTTTTGATAAACTTACTCTCCAGTGCTCAATTTGCTTATTTGAGACTCCAGTCATTAGTTATAACAAGTGGACGAAAAATAACTGAGCTTATGGCTACCAGGATGGTCAGAGGGCTGGAACACCTCCCTATGAAGACAGACTGAGGAAGCTGGGCTTTTTCAGCCTGAAGAAGAGATGGCTACGAGACCTCATTGCAGCCTTTCAGTCTAAAGGGAGCCTATGAACAGAAGCGGACCCAACTCTACTGGGATAGATAATGGCAGGACTGGGAGAAATGGTTTCAAATTGAGGAAGATTTAGGTTGGTTCTTAACCAAGAGGGTGGAGAGGAGCTGGAACAGACTGCCCAGAGAGGTTGTGGATGCCCTGTCCCTGAACGTGTTCAAGGCCAGGTGGGACAGGGCCCTGGGCAGCCTGGTCTGGTATTAGATATGAAGGTTGGTGGTCCTGCATGTTGCAGGGGGGTTGGAGCTTGATGATCCTTGAGGTCCCTTCCAACTCAAGCCATGCTAGGATTCTATGATTCTTAGGAGATTACTGCTATAGCACCATGATATGGCACCCTTAAAATTTCGCTAGCAATTGAATTTAACTCTTTCTAGAAGGAGCTTCTATCTAAAACTTAGAAGTTCAAGCCTTAGATTTATACCACATGTATTGAGAAACTTGTTAAGTGTCCAACCACTTCTGCTTCCTCCCACACCAACACCTGCCCCTTCATCTTCCTTTTCCCCACCAGTAACTAGGATTAAGCTATGCAGGTGTGATCTCACATCTGCTGCAAGATAGTGATGACATTATACCAGTAGGCCACTGATTTCAAAAACTGACACCATAAAGGAAAACCTTCACAAGTAGAGTACAGCAGATTGCTTTCAGAAGCAGAAATCGCACGCAGAGCCTCGCCGCAGCGGTGCGGGTCCCGCGACGGGGAGCGATCCGGGGGAGGCGGAGACCGTACCGCCCTCCCACGCCTCGGCCGCGTAGCACGCACGGGCGATGCGCGTCCCGTGGCAGCCATGGCCGGCTTCTACGAGCGCCTGAGCCCCGTCGGCGGCAAGGTAAAGCCGCAGGGGGTGAGCGGGAGGGAGGAGGCGTTATGAGGTGGGCAGGTCCGGTGGGTCGGCCGCGGGGGAGCTGTAGTGGAAGACGGCGGGGAGCGATTTTTATAGCAGGGGCAAGCGCGTTCTTCTTGTGTACTTATTTCTTAGGTTACCATTTAATCGTTTTGTGGTTGTTTTTTTTTTTTCTTCTTTTTTTTCCACTGAAAGTACGAGGAAATTTTTTTGGGGAAAAAAAAACAACAAACAATATATGAATATGTCAGAGCACCAGCGGCATCTAATAGGTGTTTTTTTTTCACACCACCTATCGAATGGAACCGTAACTGCATCTCTTGTTAGCGACGTTTTTTTAAGGTGATGCTGAATTCTTTAGCAACAGGAATCACACCCTGGGGCTGCTGAGTCCGGCCTGGCACGCATACAGGTTTCTCAAGAGGCGAGGGAGAGCCCATAGGTGTTTTCCTCCCATATGTGTTTCCCTACATCTACAGTGAGGTAGGAGTGGGCAGCAGTCTGCACAGTGCACTTGGAAGTACTCCATCCCTTATGGCCTGAAAGGAGGCTGCTGCTCTTCAGGTATTAGCAGTTGATCACTTTCAATAGCCAGGTTTTCAGTGGGGTGCGGGGGGAAATCCACAAATCCACAATCCACACTTTTAGCTGTCAGAATTTTGCGTCTTGGACATGCTTTCCTGTTGGTGTAGTACTCCAGAGTGTACATAAACAGTACAAAATCAAGCTAAGTTGACACAAGCTAACACAATCAAGCTAAATCCTTTCACAGTACTGTAAGTCCATACATTTGTCGTGTCTTGTGTGGGGAAAAAAAGAATAAATATATACTTGCAATTAAATATCTCCTGAAAACAATTAACAATTGTTAAAAAAAAAAAAAAAAAAAAAAAAAAAAAAAAAAAGCAGTCCTGATAAGGATTAAAGAATAAAATGAGGAGAAAAATTATTTAGTATTTCAAGTGACATTAATAATTTTCCCCTTTTTTATCACTTCTCTTTCTTCTCTTTTTTTTTTTTTTTCTAATAACAGAAATGCAGCCCTGAAGAAAATGTTTCTTTCTTCAATAAATTAACGTATTCCTGGTTTAGCAGGTAAGAATTCAATAAACAGCTCGTTGATTTTTACTGATGCTCTCTTAGTAAAAGGGTGCACATTTTCCATACCATCATTCAGACTGGATCTGTAGCCTGAACCCAAAATTGCTGTTTTCTTGTTGTATAAAAATCAAAGTTTACAATTTTAAGGGATCGTATTCAAATATTTTATAGAATACTGTTTTATGTATATATAGTATATGTAATGTATAAAGTTGATACTTACTTTATATGTTATTTAATATCTATTTAAAACATGATTTTTTGATAGTTGGAATCAGTGTTCTTTTCACAACAGAAGCTACTTTTAGAGAACAGGATTTAAACAGCCTAATTAGACTTTCCTTTTTGTTTTGTTACTTTTATTTTGTAAAAATTTGGTAATAGACAAAAATAAATAAATGAATAAATAATGGTTTTCTTTGTGCTTTATTTGCTAGATCTCCAGGAACAAATATTCAGTAGTTCATTTCAGTGCATTTATGAAGTAGCCAATGTCAGACTTATTTTCATCTCTCTTACATGTTAGGCCAAATGCCATTACCCTTGAACCCTTGTTCAGAAAAGCCAGTAGAGTCCCTCTGCTTCTTAGAAATTAATAGGAAAAGAAGAATAGAAAAAATAGGAACTGAAAGTTCAGCTATATCAAGCCATACAGCTTCCTGTCACTTAGTGTTTTGGATAGTAGTTGAAACGAGCTCATGTGTTACATCTTGTGACTGTAATGTTTTTCTTGTTCCTTTTAAATCATTTGGATCACACCCACATAAAAACTGTAATTGAAAAGAAAATATTTTGTGTCGTAACTATTTATTGCTTTATTCAATATTATTAGTTTAAACAAAAGCTGAAAATGTTATCTGTAATTTATAAGCCGAGACTGAAAGAATCAGACTGTATAATGCATCAAGTGTAACTCCAACAGTTTAGGAGTTTAGGAGTTCAGCCATCATTTTCTGAGTAACCATGCTTTTTATCAATCACAGAATCATTAAGGTTGGAAAAATACCTGAAAGATCATCTAGTCCAACTATCAACCTACCACCAATATTGCCTGCTAAATCATATCTTTAAATACCACATCTACATGTTGCTTTAAAGCCTCCAGGGACAAGTGACTCCACCACCTCCCTGGGCAACCCATTCCTGTGCTTGACTCTTTCTGAGAAGACATTTTTCCTAATACCCAGCCTGAACCTCCTCTGGTGCAAATTGAAGCCTTTACCTCTCATCACTGGTTACCTGGAAGAAGAGACTAGTCCTCATCTTGCTACAACCTCCTTTCAGGTCATTGTAGAGACCAATAATGTCTCCCTTGTTCCTCTTCCAGACTAAATAATCCCAGTTTGCTCAGCTGCTCCCCGTGAGACTTGAGCTCCAAACCACTTACACTGCCCTTCCCTGGACGTGCTCCTGGGCTTTGATGTCTTTTTTTGTAGTGAAGAGCCCAAAACTGAACACAGTACTTGAGATGCGGCCTCACCAGAGCTGGGTACAGGGAGATGATCACCTCCTTGCTCCTGCGGGCTGCATTATTTCTGATGCAAGCCAGAATGCCATTGGCCTTCTTGACCACCTCAGCACACTGGTGATGCGTTCAGCCAGCTGTCAGCAGATCCTTTTCCTCCTCGTAGACTTCCAGCCACTCTGCCCCAAGCCTGTAGCATTGCCTGAGGTTGTTGTGGCTGAAGTGCAAGACCCAGCACTTGGTCATGTTGAACTTCATCCCATTGGCCTCAGCTCAGCTATCCAGTCTGTCCAGATCTTTCTGTAGGGCCTTTCTCCTCCCATGTGGATGGATTCTTCCTCCTAACTTGGTACCACTTACAAACTTACTGAGGGTGCACTCGATTCCCTCATCCAGATTGTCTGTAAAGATATTAAACAGGACTAGCTGAGGGTACCAATAGTGAGGAACACCACCTGTAACTGGACACCAGCTGGATTTAACTCTGTTCACACCATTCAGCAGTTCTTGCATTCCATATATATGAAAGTATGTAGTATCCTGACTGCAACATGTTCAAATGATATTTGGTCATTATGTCACAGTGTTAACTAAGGTGTCCAAGCTGGGATATCTTGTGTGGTTTTTAACCACTTGTACAATGGTTAACGAAAGGAGAGATGTAGGGAAATATGATTTCAGTTCCAATCAGTGAAGGTGTGCTTCACTGTGAAGTAATTAATGGGATACAGTCAAACTAATAGTGTAAATGTTAGGTATGGTCATTTTTCCCAAACAGAAGCAAACACGAGCAATAAATTGTTAAGTATAAACTTGTACCTCTCTCTGGGGGACACATGGGGATAGTGAAGACCACTCCCACTCTAATTTTGTTACCAAAGTTTTTCTGAATCTTATTTTCCATCCTTTGCTAAGCACAATGGCACACACATCAGCATGAAGCCCAGCGCTGGCAGAGTGGCATACATTGGGAGTGCACTCTTGAGAAGATGGACTCTGCATCTGCATTTCAGCCCTCAGAGAGTGAAGTTCCCAGCAGTGCAAAGGCATTAGTGCTGCCACTCTCAGGTCACCCGCGCGTATCCAAGCATGAGTCTCTTGTTCCTTCTTAGCTGTTTAGGGCTTTCTCTGAGACGGATGACATTGTCAACATAAGTCTCTTTGCATTTTTTCCACCTCAGAAATGGGACATTGCTTTTCTTCGAGTTCTCTGAAATGTCTGCTCATCAGAAAATACACATCATCTATTACTCTTTAAAATGGAGTTCCTGTAGGTTCAGCATGTTCATCAGCCCTATTTTGCCATTTTCAAGAACAATTTCTCATCTGTTTTAACAAATAAGTGAACAACAGTACTTTGCTGAAACAAAATTATAACACATGAGGAT